CACACACACACACACACACACACACACACACACACACACACACACACACACGAGACTAATGAAAGAATTCCCTGACAGCCTTTTTTGGAGAAAACTCTCCTTCTTCTTCTTCTTCTTCCCACTTATCTTCCCTGACTGCCTTTTTAGGAGACAAAACTATTCTTCTTCTTCTACTTATGCCACTTGCTGGAAGGGTTATCAGGGTAGGAGAAGCATGCATGAAGGTTGGCACCAAAGGATTTGCAAAGCCATACCTCTGGGAACAACACAAGGATCGTGCCTTCCCCGTGCACGCAGCTCAGTTGCCACTTTTGACCTGGTCACAGTCTTCTGGTTGATCTGGATCAAAAGAGATTGCCAAAAACGTGGAGGATTAAGAGAAAGAGAGATGAACTCCATGAGAAGGTTTGCCCCTCTGAAATGGAAAATAAAAAGAGCTCAGCAGAGGGCATGCAGCCACTCACATTGCGACAATATGCAATATGTACGGTAGCAAGGTCTAACTACCACCACCACCACCACCACCACCACCACCTCCTCCTCCTCGTCATTCACCTCCTCCTCCTCCTCCTCCTCCTCCTGCTCTGTTTCTGTGGAAAGACTGCATCATTCGTTCAGAGTGACTGAAGCATTGCCAGAAGAGAAATGGCATGGAGGCAAAAGGTACTCGTAAAATATAAAGAAGTGATGAGAACTCTGTAAAATCTCTTTGCTATATATCATCAAACGGAGCTGTGACAGTTGCAGAGAGTGTCAATCTCTCTTCTATAAAATGATGCTGTTTTCTTGCCTCACCAAACTGTCCGCAATCTCTTTTATGTCGAAGATCATCATTCCTCTGGCCCCGTGCTCCAGCAGGACAATGTACCAACACTCTGCGACGTTCTCCTTTGCATAGCTACAGACACTGTTACGCTCGGCTGTAGCCGCCATCATCTCTGTCACAATCACTACAATCAGATGGTTTCTGCATCCATGTGTGTAGAGGGCTGTCCCTCCGTTCCTGACTGCAGGCACCCTCCGCATCCGGACACTATATGTCCATTTTGCGGCCATGGGCGCTATACTGAATGCATGGTCTTCTGTGGTGAGCGTTCTTCCTTCATTTTGGCCTGCAATCGACATGCCATTTGTCCGGAGTGTATGGTGGGCATGCTCAATGCCAGTCGTCGTGGCAATTGTTGTGCTGATAATGCTCAGCTAGGTCCTCCATGTGCTCACCCACTTCATCCTTACAATGTGTGTCCTCTCTGCTGTCAAGGACAGACTCACTCTTGAGCTTTTCTTATCCACTCCTTCGCCTTCATCTTCATTCCACAGTCCTTACTTTCCCTTTTGGTTCTTTGTTTGTATTCCCTTCATCTCTCTTCCCTGTGTTTATCACCTTCCCCTTTACTCTGCCTCTTTCTCATAGCGTACAAGTGGGTCGTTATGGCACATGGAAATGCGGGCTGCTCACGCTCAACTTCATCAACGTGGCGAGCCTTGTACGTGAGAGGCATACTGAAGGGGGAGTTGAAAGAAGAAACATAAAAATAAATGGTTTCAGTGCCCCTCATGTTTGTTATGTTTTTTTAATCCTTGCCTTTTGTTTCACAAAGTGCGCTGTTTTGGTTCATTGTTATGTGCCAGTCAGTGGAACTCTGACGAAACAGTTTGTCACAGCCCCTTGTTTGCTGTCCTCTCTTCTCCCTCTCTGCCTACGGTTTACTGTCGGCAGCTCTGTTTGACGATATATATACATTGACACTCTCTGCAAATAACAAAGGACTTGAAAGGAGTGATGAATACTCTGTAGAATTTCTACAAACATCAGGAGAATAGCAGAAATCGATTACCGTGTGAAAGTTCCATTCAAATTTCTGCCCCCTCAACGTTCGATGGTCGGACAGATGCCCGCCATGGAGGTAACGGGTGATGGAGGATTAGGGTTGGATTCCAGAGAGGGAGCCTGAGAGAGAACATTATTTTGGCTCACCGGCGAAAGGGAAGAGCCGGTAGAGCACGCCGCCGCTCTCGCGAAGGATATGACTTTCTCTTATTCCCTCTAAGAAAGCAATTATGTATACAATTACAATCAATTCAATAAATACAGTCATGGAATCTACAACATCCAAGGAAGGCAGCAGGCGCGTGAATTACCCAATCCTGACATAGGGAGGTAGTGACAATAAATAACAATACTGCATTGTACTGGGACAAAAAGAAAAAGAAGATAAATGTGAAGGATAAATATTAAATAGCTACAGGCGCCTGTGCACCCGACTTATGCACACCCAGGTGGCCGGCCGGGCATGCCCTCTGGGCAGGGTTACACCAGGCAAATCTTTGACTCTACCTCCTCGAACCATAACAATAGAGTGCTCTTGTAAATTATGGCCTCCTCCCGGAATGTATGCAATAACCTCATTTCGATTGGTTAATCTCACCGGGCAGACCAGCCAAAAAAAAAACAAACAAAAAAAAACGACTTTCGGCTGAGGGTCACATTAGAATTACTCACAGAATCAAAGCTAAAAAAAGAAATTAACAGAATCACACTAACGCAACCCCCTTTAAACACCTTCAGCTGTCAGGAATTTGCAAAACTTCCATTTCTTTCCATGTGCAGCACTCAACCAAACTGAAGTGAAGACCAAAAATCTGGAAGATGGCACTTGGAGAGAAACTTTGCAATACTAAGTGCTCATATTGCTCAATCACACCAGCACACTTGATGAAAAAAAACAAAACAGGTGATGTCCACTTGAGGGCCAGGCTGGACTGAGCAGTCTGCAACAAACAGCGCTCAAAACTGTGCAGTATAGTCTCTAAGGGATCCTCTTGCTAATATTTATCAAATCAACACAGGACTTCCCTTGGGATTGATCCATCCAAGTAATGTAAATGAATGTTTTCCCGATATAGCTGGATGCACACTCTAATCTTACGATTAGAGGGGACACCTTTGGCCGTGTTTTGTTAGAGCCCGGCCGGATCTATCTAATCCTGTTTGCTCCCCATGCTTTTCTGGCTACATAGCTGCACCCAAAACCTCTCCTCTCCTTCAGCTGCCAAGATTGGCACTGCTTCTGCTTCTCTTCACTCCACCAAAATCACAAACTGAAAAAATGAATGAACTGTAGTCCTAGCTCGTCACGTTTTGCTACGCCAATTTTGCCTGGGCCTACCGGGTCCTTCCGGGTCCTTCCGGGGTCCGTCCTAGAGAAGTTTGGAGGTCTAGGTCCTATAGGGTACCATGTGTCCAAGTTCAGCTAACAGTATGCTACTGTGCGTACTTGGAGGTCCAAGGTTTGTATCTGACTGGCAGCAAACATGAATAACAAAATAAACACAACTTGTTTTTGTTTCACACTTGGGCCAGGTCTCGGGTTCAAATCCCCCTGTGCCCAACATTAGCGCCTTTAAAACCAATATATAGGGGCTAATGTTGGGCACAGGGGGGGACTTGAACCCGTGTACCCTGGGTTTGGTCCTCTGGGAGAGCACAGAAAACCTTTTTTTTCACGCCCATGTACCCAGGGGGCATCACGCCCGGGTGCCGGCCGGGCATGACAATCTTCCTAGTTGAATAGTAATAAATACCATCGTTGCCCCGGACCCGGACAACCGGACAACCGGACACGGACACCGGACCTGTGTCTGGATCAAACTGGACATCCAGACATCCAGAACCGGACAGTCCGGTTTGCTATGTCAGTGCCCAGTTGTCCGGGGAAAAAAAAAAACATCAAGCACAGAGCTCAAATGCACCAAGATTCCATCCAAATAAGAGCGAAGCAGTGAACTCATGTGCCAATGTCATCGCCCTCAGGCCCCACCAACACAGTATCCAATGTCGCTCATCTCTGTCTGGCGTCATCGCCCTCCCACCCTGCTCGCCCCTCCCATCCTTCATCGTCCTTCCATCCCTGCTCACCCCTCCCATCCTCCATCGCCCTCACATCCCTGGTCGCCCTTCCCATCGGCCAGACCCTCCTCCCACGTCACAAAAATGCAAGGAATATGAGCGAGAGCGATAGACAGAAAATCAAGTTGCAAAATCACGCAGAAGTCCAGATAGTCATGTACCAAGAAGAGAGCTCAAATGCACCAAGATTCCATCCAAATACGAGCAAAGCAGTGAACTCGTGTGCCAACGTTATCACACAGGTCCCTTTCAGGGCCTGTCCAGTTGGGGTACCGGTTCTCAAAAAACATCAGCATTATTTTTCCTGGGTACCCCAGGCCCAGGTAAACGGCCTGGGAACCCCAATTTTTTTTTTCGATTTTTTCGAAATCGGTCCAACCGGACCCTCCGAACCGGACCCCGGACCCGGACACCGGACACCGGACTGTCTGGATTGGGATCCGGACGTCCGGTTGGTAACCATGATAAATACTACTAAATAAAATGATAAAACAGCATAAACATAAGAGAATTCATTATGCGTAAATTAATAGCACAGGGTGGATGCATACCGCCTGCAGGCAGCAGCAAATGGAAAAGACGTGTGTGGACACGGATGAACAGTTACCGACATCACTTTCTTTCAGCAAACGGACACTACAGTCCTTTTGGACTTCCATTAAAATTGGAACGATACAGAGAAGATGAGCATGGCCCCTTTGCAAGAATGACGCACATAAAATCGAGGACCTGTCTCTTATACACATCTAGATGTGTATAAGAGACAGGTACAGAGAAGATTAGCATGGCAAAAATCGAGAAATGGTCCCAAAAAAAAAAAAAAAAAAAAAAAAAAACGGACGCAGCTTCACCAAAGTGGCATGGATGACGAATGGATGGTTGACAAATAGGTGTGCTTACCGAGATCGTGGAAGTCGGTTTGAATGCTATTCGCATCACAATCATCTCTCCGTTGGAAATTCCACCCTGTGCATGGGGCAAGAAAACGAAAAACACACCACCAAGGAAAATTCAGAGAGCTATTCGACTGAAAGCCTGAAAGGTACAAAATCGTCAATGCCAAGAGAAGATGAAAACCACACTTGCAATGCACTGTTCAACATGCGGTGTGCACAACTGCAGTGTGCTGTGCACTGTGTGGTGTGGTGGTGCAATGTCCTGTCCGCAGCCCCTCAGAGACGCGCACGGTGTGTTGTCATGTTCGCTACACACAACTCCACAAAAACAGAATGACTTTGCCAGACTGTTTCTTCAGACTTTCTGGCACATTGCACAGCTGTAGTTAAACACCCCTCTCTCTCTCTCTCTCTCTCTCTCTCTCTCTCTCTCTCTCTCTCTCTCTCTCTCTCTCTCTCTCTCTCTGCCTCCTTGCTAGAAGCCTGCAGCAGCACTGCTACCTGGCCCACATTGTCGCCTGTCAGTGCCTCCGCTGCTCCACATTGCACCCTCCACCACTGTTGCCTTGCTAGTATAGTAACCTGGGCCCAGCGGCGAAAATTCTCTATGACGCACATTCGAAATTGGAACCTGGAAGTAAATTGAGCCAAAAAATTGGATCTGCTTCCCCGGTTCTTCTTTGGGGCCTGGGAAACTGGACTGCATGCATCCCTTTTTGTTCCGTATCTTAGACTGCATGCATCCCTTTTTGTTCCGTATCTCAGAGCCTGCGGAGCTGGAGACATGCCCTTTTTTTAGAGTGGCCGGGTGCATCACCAACCCATCACCCACCCATCAGTTGACCCGGACCAAAGCTTCACCGGGCCATCGCCCACAAACGCCGGCCAGCTACACTAGCCCGTGACCCACCCAAGCCGGCTTAGCTATAGACCCAGACTGAACCCATCACCTTCTGGGTTGGGTGGGTGCAGATGGGTGCGGTTCTGGGCACCCACTGCCACCTCTTATGAGCCATGCAGCAGCAAAAGTGGAGTTGGAAATGCGCACATGAATAAGGGAACACTCATTAAAGGACTGAATTGACTGAATCTGGCGATGCTGGGCATCACTGGATGGAATTCTACACCTTTTGGCTAAGATCGATCATTGGACAAATTGTGCAGAAAGAAAACATATGTAATTGCAGTGTAGAGGATCACTGGAGACATGGGGGAGAACGAAGTATAAAAGAGGAGCATCAGGGTAATGGGTTTAATGAGCGATAAAGACACCAATGGCCAATGCCAAGATAGCGAATGATTGGGAAGAATGAGGATCTTGCCGCCCAGATTGCCCAGATGGAGGAGCCATCATGCTCACTCATGTTCTTCCATTCAGAAATCATACTGCGCCAGAGGCGGCGGCAAATTATTCCATGACAAAATATATCGATCATATTCTTGCATTGAACACGGACACATACATGCATGCACACACACACACACACACACACACACACACACACACACACACACACACGTGCATGTGTAGACTGCCTTGTCTGCGCTCCGCTGCTGCCTTGCTGCCCGTTCTGCTGGCCTTGCGTGTCGTTCTTTGCGAGCTGCTGTGTTCACTGTGTGGTGTGGTGTTGCCATGTGCTTCCCTACGCTGCGGCCTTGCTGCCCATCCGCATGCCTTCCCTTCTGCGTTCCTTGCTTGCGTGCCGCGTGGTGCGGCCGGTGTGTTGGTGTTGCCTTGTGCTTCACAGCGCTGTTGCCATGCTGTTAATCCACCTGCCCTGTCATTCCTTGCAGTTGTTTTTGGCGTTGTGCAGTTGAGTTGCTTCGACGGCGTTGCCTGGTGCTTTGCTGAGTTGTTGCTTGCCTGCTGCTATGTTCCGCATGGGGACAGTCTGCCTTCAACATGGGGCAAAGGGTTCACGACCCAAACCATCAATACGGGCATTCCGCAAATTGTCGAGGGTTCAGCCTCCTGATCAGGACCTGATAAGTCGGCGCAACTCGGACGAAAGTATCTATCATCAGTTTTGTTTTCTTTCACTCCTCCGAAATTTTGTGGGACTTGTGTTTTTTTAAACTTGTCCGTTTCCTGCGCTTGGGTGTTGTCTGCCCACCCATCCCCCGCTGCCTTCCAGCCCTTGTTCTCTGTGGTTCCCTGTTTTATATGCCTTGTTGTTCTGTGCCTTTGTGTGCCCACCAGCCTCCCCCATGACGTCCAGCCTTTGCCCTTTGCCTTGTCATTGTTGTTACTTGTCATCCTTTCACTTGTCGCTTCATGCCCTTCCCTCATTGCGTGGAGCTGTTTGTCTGCCCTCCCGCCTACCCCTTGCCTTCCAGCCCCTTGTTTTCTGTGGTTCCCTGTTGTCATATGCCTTGTTGTGCTGTGCCTTCGTGTGCCCACCCGCCTCCCCCATGACCTCCAGCCTTTGCCCTTTGCCTTGTCGTTGTTGTTACTTGTCATCCTTTCCCTTGTCGCTTCATGCCCTTCCCTCGTTGCGTGGAGCCGTTTGTCTGCCCTCCCGCCTCCCCCTTGCCCTCCAGCCATTTCCCGTTGTTGTTACTTGTTGTTCTTTGCCTTGGCGCCTCGTGCTGCTGTCATCTGTCGGTCACGGTTTTTGCCGTTTGTTCTTTTGGCCTTTTTTAAAGTTTTTTTTTGTATTGTCTGGCCACTGGGTCTACTGGATAACCATTCAGAACTGGTCCGGCGAGTGCTGCTAGCGTCAAATTTTGCCCCCTGAGACCCACCCCTGGTATCCGTGTTGTGCCCAGGCTTAACAGAGAAAGTCCTTGGAGATTGGTGGCAGCATTCATGCGGCATGAACACGTCCAAAATGGTGCAACACTGTAACACACACACACACACACACACACACACACACACACACACACACACACACACACACACACATGTACACAGTACTACACACACATCCGAGGAAGGGCACAGGGACACGACAAAAAGAAATATACACAAACATGCAGACACACACACACAGACTCACTGAGCAAATGTATGGAAGTATGGGCAGACACATGGGCCGAAGGACCAGCAAAATGAATGATGGACTGATGATGGAGCAACCAGACAGGGTGACGGATGAGCAAACAGATGTGTTAATTGACCTGACTGACATAGCGATGATGAACCGATGAATGGATGCACACACACACACACACACACACACACACACACACACACACACACACAGAGAGAGAGAGAGAGAGAGAGAGAGAGAGAGAGAGAGAGAGAG